TTTAAAGTAAAGACAGTCAGATCACTTACCCTATGATATTCTAAAAGCATCTGCAAAATATTTTCTAGGGCTTTAGATACTGACAACATTGATTTGAAGACATTCATATTTTCTTTCTTTGTGGTCCATATAATAAGAGTGCATTTCCCAATCAGTGGAATCATAAGTGAAATATCATATATCAAATTCCAATTCCAAATCTGCCTCCTTTTTAAAGACAGGAAGTAGTTGTATGCAGCAGAGGAGACTCTACTCCCAAGTCAAAATGTGCTTCTAAAGCACAAGTTTTCTTATTAATGGAATACACTTGGAATAAGTGCCGCCCTTACTGAAGCAGATGCCTGCACCTACAGGCATCATTCTCAGAAAATGGCAGCTTAAATTCAATGACATGAAAGAACTTATGAGTACCTTGCTTAACAAAATATTCACACACGACCTGGATGACAGACTTGACATACTTTGGTGAAAGCAATTTAGTTTTAAGTAAAGGCTATTAAACCTGATTAAAGTGAAAACTGAATGCAATTTAGCTGGTTAATCAAATTATTAAAGTTCCTATGCCTCGTTGAATTTATGTCCTGATGAATAGGAAATTTTACTTCTATATTTTTCACTTGGCAACTTTAGTATTTTCAGACCCTAGACATCAGAATTTGTCCAGCCTCTTTCTTCAGTCTTTCCCTGCCCTCCATTCACGGAGGTAGATTTTTCAGTCTTGGGGACTTTCCCTGGGTCTGTGTACTCACATAGGTGATTCCTCAACTGTGTAAATACAGAACTTTTTGTTAACATCAAAATATTCTGAGGGTCCTATACAACAGTGGGTTGAATTTTTATAATCCAACTTTTATTCAATTTACAGACAATGCTTAGAATATGAATCAATCAATGGATACCCCATAATAACTTTACAGTTCACAGGTCAGAGAGCAAAGCTCTAGAACTCAACTTTTCAACTCTATCAGGGACCTCAGTTCCACAACTCTCCCTCCTTTGTTGGTATACTTGCCCTCTTCCTCAACACAAACTCAGATCCTTCTGCCTTCATATATGCAACATCGCTAATGACTTCATTAGAGCCAAATGCAATTAACTTCTCTCTGCAGTATTAAACATGAATGACCTTTTTCTACTTTGGCAGATTCTGTCCAAGGCAATATACTACTTTGGAACTCTTCTGCTTCTAACCACTGCTCCTTGGCCTCTTTTCCTGGCACTTCTATTTCTTCTTTCAAACCCACTGGCAGTGGTTCTCAATCAATTTCTGACTCCATTCAATATTGGGTAACATATGCCATCAATGACATCTTTCACAGGGCACTAGCTCTCTACCAGCTGGCACTATTCCTCAACATGAAAGTCCTGCCCAATCATATACAATGTTCCTGGCCTAACCAGTTTCTGAATTTCTAGTCATTCCACTTGTGGGCTATAACATGGCAATGAACAAGGACCGTTTATTATTACCTACACCTGTTACATCTGAGGAAACAGTGGTTTCCTCAAATCAGACAGCAATTCCTTAAAGGCAATTCCTTCGCTTTAATCATCTCTCCAAAGGGCAGAGTGCCAAGTATAAAGGCATCACTTCAAATATCTGCTAACACTTTCTAGGTACCTGAAATATAAAGTAAAAAATTACCACACCACAGAAAGAGAACACTATTTGCAGAATGCTACGTAGGGATGATGTGAAAGAAAGGTTCCATAATTAAAGGTTTAAGAAATACTGAGTTAAACAAAGCTAACAGGTTTATTTGTAGATCTTCCTAGAACCTTTAGCCTTGCTAATTGCAAATCTCCAAAAGCAGAATTTCCAAACTTTTGTGTTATAAAACTCTTTCCCATCTTCTACTGCTCATTACCTACACCTATTAACTTCTCCCTTTCCGGGGAACACAATTGAGGAAATGCTTATTAAGCAATTATTTTCTTTTACAACTATTTTATATCCAGTATGATTTCTAAGTATATGTTAATAGTATAGGTTTTATGATTTATCCTAGCAACAAGTCTCAGCATCCCTCAATTACTCCAAAAGACATTAGACAGTATAATTACAAATAACTTTTTAAGGATTCATTTCAGGATACTTTTAAATTGCAGCTCCCTCACTGTTTTTAAACATAACCTCATTTACAAAAAGTCTATTTATATACACTAACATTTATTTAAAAAAAAAACAAACAGCAAAATTTGTTAAAAGATGTGGGTGCTTTAAACAACGTGACACTCTCTTCACCAAAGTCAAAGGTAAAACAACTAAAAAAGAACTAGCATATTTCAAAGGACCAAGAATAAAAGGAAGATAAAACAAATTTGGAAAGTAGGCACACTATTAGTCTCTAGGAGATTCATAACACTTATGAGCACATTAAATGTTCTATGAAGTCCTCTAAAGAAACCAATTTAACACTGTTTAATCTGTTGCTCCCCAAATTTACCTAACCATAGAATCTTTTTTTGTCTAATTAACACTTATGAACATCCTAATTCAACCTGGTAGACATTGTAACAATTTAATCAGTATATCAGATTGAAAAAAAGCATATCACAGAATGGTTAGCCCTTTTTTTTTTTTTTAAGATATTTGATTCAGGAATTGGGGGAGGGGAACAGTGCTGGGGAATCGGGGGAAGGGGAACAGACAAGTTGCTGTCCTTTTTGTTCTTCAGTCTAGTTGTGGAGGACGTTGCTTCACTGGCCCATGTTGGTATTATGATTGCGCTCTTCCCGGTGAGGCAGATCGGTCACCGGCCTCGGGACGGCAGCTCACAGCGGCTCTTGGCAGCTCACACCGGCTGCCAGCCGCTCACGCTGACTGCCAGCCACACACGGTAGCTTATGGAAGCCCACTGCAGCAGGGGCTGCAGCCTACACCATTGGCAGCAACTCATGGCAGCCCAGTTCCAGGTCAAGTTGTTGTTCACCATCTTAGCTGTAGAGGGCAGTGTCACTGGCCTTCATGTGGGACCGAACCAGGTTCCTGCTGCTCAAAGCTGGCCTCCCAAGCCAGCTCTTAACCAACACGCCACTCAGCCAGCCCAGGCCTCATTCTTCTGCTTCAACATTTTGCAATGTTGAAACAAACAAACAAAAATATTTTAGAAAAACCTGGATAGGCAGCAGGTAATCAGATGTTAAATCTCTAAATTTTCCTATAAAATCTCATTCCCCACTCAATTTCTTGGCCTAGAAATTTTATTTCGATGATTAAGATGTGGGAGGAAAACAAAGGCAAACTTGTCTTAACCTTCAAAATTTACATTAGGTGAGGAAATAAATCCTGGACCTTATTCCTGGAATCCTGCAAAACTCCAGTCTGAGTTAAAAACAGGACCTCAGGAATGCCTCAAATACTAGTTCTTTCTTTCTTATTTATAACCTGTGTGTTTCCTTGGCAATAAAACTCTGTGGAATGGGGATGTTGACTAAGTGAAAACTCTCAACATCTAGTCTCCACCCTGCAAGCCTCTCTCTACTCTACACCTTTTCTAAACCAGATCAGATATTTTCTTATATAGCACTTTGACTTCCTTTTTCCTGGAACAAGGTAAAGAAACGACACGGAACAAGGTGAAGAAATGACCCGCAACCAGAAAGCCAGGTATAAACCAGGCACACACCTCATCATTCAGGAACAGTTAATTACCAAATGAAGCACACTGAGGATTAACCAGTTTGCAAATTCGCTACTTCACAGCTCCAAGTTAAATTATGTTTTGTAAAACCACTGTACTAACTAGACATAGCAAAAATATATCCGATTCTAAAGTGAGCTCAAACTCTAATAATTTCAGCAAGCTATTTATAGGTGTTTCTGTTTCTGTTTTTTTTTTAACCTATTTTAAATTTAAACCTGCTCCTCCTTTTCAGAAGCTGAAATTCGCATAATGTTAAATACAGGAAAAATATACACTAATGAGAATAAGCCATGGCTGGCTGAGCTCTTCTTGCAAAAGGCTACAAAGAATCAGTTTCCCAGATAGTTTAAAGTCTATTAAAGTTATATTTCCCTTAAAAAAAAAAAGTGTTTTTTATTCTTCCAGGGTGTGGTCAGTTGTAAATTTCAATAAGGTAATAATACAATTCTTTATACTAACAATGGCCAAGTTAATACCAATTTTAGTCCATATCAGTCATTCCAGATATAATTCTGACAATCCCTTTTAGCTAACACTTTTAGGTAATATTAAAACAACTAAGTCTCAAAATATGGAATAAAAGAGCCTAAACTTTATGATTTAACTGTTCTAGGTAAAACATTTGTTAAATGTTGATCAATATTTTTCATAGGTAAGTCTTTTTAAATGGGAGCACATGCAAGTGATAAATGATGTACGATCTATCGCCATGGTCACTTCTGGGCCTCTTCCACAGAGGATTAGGTCTAAGCCCATTCACCAAGTTATTGATTAGCAATAGTTTCTGTTGATACAGGGTGGAAGAAATAAGAACATCTATAATGCCGTTGTCTTAGCTCTAGTTAGATTGTAATTCTGTTTTCTATTGGGCCTGACAGAAAGGAAGCAAATGAAAGATGAATATTTATTAAAAGGTAAATACTAGAAGAATACAAGGTAAGTCCAAGAGACGTCACCTGATGTTCCACAGGTTGCCTAACCTGGTAGACTCTTGTGAAGACACCTCCCTCCACACCTCAATCCCCTCAACCATCCCCTTTTCCAATACAAACCTTTCCCTTTCCTCTTGGTTCCCTTCTCCGCGCAACCCCACCTCCCCCCAATACAGCCCCCCAGGTCCCCTATAGGCCCCGCCCTCTTCTCAGGTGCTCTCCTAAGTCCACCACCCACCTCTAGCTCGTAGAAACCGGCCCCCGCCCCCAGCACCCGCAGCCACCGCGGGACGCCCCCCGCCCATCACCCAGACTTCGCACCCTCCACACTCTCGCTTCCTCCCGCGCCTCGGGCCTCAGCAGCGCCCGCACCGCACCCCAGCACCACCCGGTAACACGCCCCCCGCCCGCGGCCCCTTACCGCACATGATGCTGGAGGCACAGTCCGCGCGGCAAGTGGTGAACGGCTGGCAAGGTCAGGAGCTCACGCGAGCCTGTGGGGTGATCAGCGGGGTTGGAGGCCAGTGGGGCGCCGACACGACTCCCTCCGGAATGCGACAGCCAGAGTAACCACTGCCTTCTTGGCCTCCCGGGCTCGCCAGCGACTGCCTCCTGACCCCGCCCCTCAGCGCGCACCGCGCCGCCGCCGCCGCCGTCCGCAGGTCCCATTGGGTCACGTCCGCGCCGCTCACACGCAGATCCCGCCTTCCCGCACCGCCCCACCCCTCCCCGGAACCCACGCAGGCGCTGCTCTGCTGGCTGAGAAGACGTGGCAGCGAGCGGCTCGTGGCAGCATCCGCTTTGGGTTCCTGGAGCCGCCCAGCCCACGTGCGAGCAGCGGGAGGGATAGCGCCGCGGGGAGGAAGAAACTAGGTGGCTGGCAGAGAACAACGGAAAGATAAGGAAAGAGCAGAATGGAATTGTTAGCTAAGCAAATAGCGTTGGGGCGCGCGCCTAGTGCAGTCCAAGGCCCCAAGCTCCGGCACCCCTGAAGAGGGGAAAGACGAGGAAGAAATCAGGAGGCCTGACAAGAGGATCCTGAAGGACAACAAATCAGGGTGGGAAAGAGACATAGGCCGAAGGAAAAAATGCAAAGAATTGAGGTGAGGGGAGAGAGATACCAGTTTTTCATTGAAAAGTTCCATGCAGTTTCGGCCAGTATTTCTCGTAAGCAATTCAGTTCTCGACTTAGGCTCTATTGTAATGTACTTGACTTCCAAAAGCTCTCGGCACCCGGTCCGCACCCCCATCCATTGCCTCCCTAACCCCCAGTTGTTTTTTTTTTGTGTGTGTGTGTGTTTTGCAGAGGGGCAGGAGGGGAGACTTCTGTTCAGCCACCTGAGAGGACTGTAGGAATTGCCTAGATTGGACAGCCTGACGTTTGATTCATGAGCGATTAATTCTATTAATGTACCATTCCTGCCAAGAGAAACTTAATCAAAGAGAAATGATGTTTCTGAGAATTTATTGCCTGAGCATTTGCTTTAGGAAGATTTAAATGGTGTCTTTAGTCAAATATAGGTGGTTAGCGTAACTATTAATGATTCTAGGATACAATCAAGTAAAAACTTGTATGGCGTACAGAACATGGCATGGACTTCTGACCCCGGATGTCTCATCTTTCCTCACACTACTGTTCTCTTCCTACCCCAACTGCCAGCCCTTTACACTCCAACAGCACTGAACAGGTAGTTTCTCAATTGGGCCAGCATTCTCAAATCTTTTGCACACATTGGTTACTCTTCATGGAATCCCTACCCCTTCTCTACTTAAATGCTACCTCTTACCTTTCTTGTCTCCCCCAGACAGACTTAAGGACATGCATTAACCTCTAATTCTTTGAGCTTCCCCCTTTAAAGCAATATGCTTTGATATTTTATTATCTTTTGTATATTTCCCTATTAGGGTAAGTTTCTTGAAGCTAAAACAAGTCTTAGCATACCCAACAACTAGTGTAAACCCTAGCATAAAGTAAGGGATCAAAAGTGCTTTTGAGTGAGTGGGAAAAAGTCAAATATTCTTAGCAGAATCGACTTTCTATGGTTAGTTATATGATCAAGTGAGCAAAGGGCTTTTCAGTTTTGTTTTTTAGAGGGGAAAAAAGGCCTTTTTATCACTGGCCTCAAAAAGAAGCCAGAAAATGTCATATTTAACGAATAAAAGTACTTCTAAAATTTAAGTCCTTTAATATTTCATGACCTTAAAACATGTTCCTAAATCACCCAGAGCAAAGTTAAAAAACAAATAAAAAACCAGTGATCTGTTAGATAATAGACAACATGTTTCTTAATTCAAGAGGCAAGGTCTCTGTGGATATAAATCTTAACCTCAAAACCCTCATCTAAGAGTTTCTGGTAAGACCTCAGTGATATTGCCAAGCAGTCAAGGTATGATTCCAATGTTTGAGCAATACCTTTGTGCACTGCCATAAACCCTGTCAGTGCTACAAAGAAAATGCCAGCAGTCCTACCAAAGTTATCATGCTCAAACTATAATAATCTATTGTACTCCTGGCTTTCCTCTTCTGCTTGTTACTCCATCATGACTGTCAGTTTGTCTTGTTCATCGCCATTCTACAGCTATTTTGGAAGGTGCTTATGCACCAGTAGAGAGGAAGAAACTTTGAAGGCTAATATTCCCCAAAATTAGTAGACACAGACCAAGGGAAAAGCCCCAAAACTGAAAATCTACCTCCATAAGCAGAGGGCAGAAGGCAGGGAAAGACGGAAGAAAGAGGCTTGCCACTCCAGTCTGGCAATTAATAGAATGTATTAAGCAAAACGTACATACAAGGCATGTCTTGGGTGGCTGCAAAAAAAAAATGGATTCCCATGCCGCTTGGCAGGTGCCAGAGAATTATAC